AGTATACTTTTTTTTTTTTTTTGAGATGGAGTTTCACTCTTGTTGCCCAGACTGGAGTGCAATGGCACAATCTAGGCTCACTGCAACCTCTGTCTCTCAGGTTCAAGTGATTCTCCTGTATCAGCCTCCTGAGTAGATGCCTCTACCATACCAGGTTAATGTTTGTATTTTTAGTAGAGATGGAGTTTCACCATGTTGGCCAGGCTGGTCTCAAACTCCTGACCTCAGGTGATCCGCCCACCACGGCCTCCCAAAGTGCTGGGATTACAGGCATGAGCCACTGCGCCCAGCCCAGCAATATCCTAATCAAGTGATCCTGGCATGCATCACCAGTAATGGGACAGACAGACAGCATGTGCCTCCTAGTGTGAGGAGCTGAGGACAGCGTCACTCTTGTGGTATTCTTGTCAAACATTCATAACTTGGATGGAATCTTGCGAAATATCAGAAAAGCCTGACGGAGAGGCTCAGCAACATAACTGGCCTGCATTCTTCAAAATACCGAGGTAATAAGAGACAAAGATTGTTCTAGATGACAAGAGACCAGAGTCATGACAACTAAACGCAACATGAGATCCTGGACTGGATGCTGCAACAGAAAATTGTTTTCCTTTTTGTTGTAACAGTTTCAGGAAAGCTGGCAAGATCTGAATGAGACCTATAGATAGAGATGAATATTGTAAAAAAAAAAAAAAAAAAAAAAAAAAAAGAGGCTGGGTGTGGCATGTGGTGGTGTGCACCTGTAATCACAGCTACTTAGGAGGCTGAAATGGGACAAATCACTTGAACTTGGGAGGTGGGGGGCTGCAGTAAGCTGAGATTGTACCACTGCACTCTAGCCTGGGTGACAGGGCAAGACTCCATCTCAAAAGGGTTATGCTGGAAACCATCATTATCAGCAGCCTGAAACAAGAACAGAAAGCCAAACACCACATGTTCTCACTCATAAGTGGGTGTTGAACAATGAGAGCACATGGACACAGGGAGGGGAACATCACACATCAGGGCCTGTTGGGGTGTGGGAGAGCTAGGGGAGGGATAGCAGGGGGTAGGGGGGATAGGGGAGGGATAGCATTAGGAGAAATATCTAATGTAGGTGACAGGCGGATGGATGTAGCAAACCAACATGGCATGTGTATACCTATGTAACAATCCTGCACGATCTGCATAGGTACCCCAGAACTTAAAGTATAATAATAATTTAAAAAACAGTAATTTGAAACATACAAACAATAAATTAACAGATTACCAAGAGCAGAAAAAAAGAAAAGAGTGTTCTGCTAATGTGACCCAAAAGATGCAATTCTGTAGTGGCACTCTGGGGCTTTGAAAATCAAGTAATGGGAAGAGAGCCTATTAATTTCAGGCCACAAGAAGCACTAGAGAGACTAGAATACCAGAAAATAAAAGAAAAAGGGAAAAACAAGGCATGATTATCACACCCAGCTCTGGGTTCAAGTCTTGGCTCAGCTACTATCTGGCTGAACAACACTGGACATGCATGCCCCTGACCCCTCAGAGCTCATTCCTACCAGATTTACTGGGGAACAAGCCATAGTCTTCATTGGTAAGCCATAAAATGTATTTTGCATGACCACATTTGCAAATAAATAACTCATCTTTTGACAATAACATGAATTTTTTTTGTTTGTTTTGAGGAAGAGTCTCGCTCTGTTGCTTAGGCTAAAGTGCAGTGGAGCGATCTTGGCTCACTGCAACCTCCACCTCCTGGGTTCAAGTGATTCTCCTGCCTCAGCTTCCCAACAAATAGCTGAGATTGCAGGTGAGCACCATCATGCCCAGCTAATTTTGGTATTTTTAGTAGAGATGGGGTTTTGCCATGTTGGCCGGGCTAGTCTCGCACTCCTGGACTACAGTGATCCACCAACCTCGGCCTCCTAAAGTGCTGGGATTACAGGCGTGAGTGACTGAGCCTGGCCTAAAATGAACTCTATTTTAATATCAGTCAATCACAAAACAATCCCCCTAGGCAGCCCTTAGAGATTTTAATATTATTTTCACTAAAAATGTGCTGGAGGGGAGATGAAGAAGTGGTATCTTTAGTAGAATGCAGCTTTTAAGTTTCCTTCCGATTCTCAGTACATTTCGCAATTCCATTAGTAGTTCTTCTGTCATAATTCTGCCCTTTCAATTCTCCTCCTCCCCTCTTTTTGATGTGTCTAATTTGCTTTGCATGCATTTCTTTGGAGCTCGCATGGCTTTGCATTTTAAATACCAACAGTACGTAAAAATAGCCATTTTGAATCCGTAACACCTCTGGAATATTGCCACCCATAGGCACTTAAATATAGAAACTTTTATTCAAATAGCTCACACTATGATTTTGCTTTATTATTCTAAGAGCTCTGGAGTTTAGGAATAAATCACATGAAAAGGGGGCAGTGCTGGGATGATGCCAGCATGCCCTCTAGTGGGCAGCATGAAATATTTCATTTTTAATACAGGTCCAGCCACGTTAACATGGCCACTGCTCAGCTGCTAATCTTTGAAGAATGAGGTGCATCTCTTTATAAAAGAATACCAGTGTTCTTAAGCAGAGAACAGTGACCACAAGGAAACCTCTGTGTCATGATTCGGGTCCATTTCTTTGGACCCTTTGTAAGATTCTATTACTGAGTGAAGTTCTGTGCTGGCTCCAATTTGGTCCCGCCCCTCTGTGCCTGCGGGATGTCTGCTTGTTGCAGACACAGTCTCGCTACCTGCTAATGCTTCGAAGGCTTTTTTTTTTAAATAGTATTTTTAAGTAGTGATGGGGATCTTGCTATGCTGCCCAGGTTGGTCTTGAACTTCTGGTCTCAAAAGCAAGCCTCCCCGCCTCAGTCTCCCTAAAGGCTGGGATTATAGGTGTGAGCCACCTCGCCTGGCCATACTAATGCTTCTAAGTTTGCAGTCTCAAACTTGTGAAATTATCAATGAGCTTCACTTAACACATCCTCTTAAGGATAAATATTAATAAGAAATATTAAGGCACCCTAATGTGTTAAGTGGATGGATCCTGACCTTCAGGGAGATTTGGGCCATCAAGGGCATGGTAATATATAAAGGATTACTGTAAAAGTGTTAAGAGCACCCACTTAAAACAGGCTATATTCTTATTGAGCATCTCATATCTATATTTTCTTCCATCTCGCTTAAAAAAAAAACATGTAATTTCTTGGAAATAAAAACATAATAGCCCTTTTAATAAAAAGACAAAAGCAGTCGAGACTGTGGCTGGCGTGTTCTACATAATTCACATTCCTTAAGGTTTCCATCAGGTTTTTTTAGGAAGAAAAGTTTGTCCTCATTTTTTTTGGGCTTGCTATTATACATTTCTCGACACTTTCAAAACAGACACTAACACAAGCAACTTCTTCACCTGAGAGTTCTGAGCAAAAACTCTCTTTATCTGTTAATTATGTTAGGAGTCTATCATGACAGCAATTTACATGTGATCTTTAGAGGTCTTCCTTATTTGTGGCTGTAATTACATGGGAATGTCATTTGTTAGAGACAGAATGCTTGTTCTTAGGTGTTGCAAGGAAAAAAATAGCATTTTTCCTTTCTGCACCCTTTCTGCACAAAGTAAAATTGCCTTGCTGAGAAAACTTTTTGTCTGAATGCTAATTTTTCCTTCTGATACCTGAGAATAAGCATTCTGTCTCTAACATCCCTTGTCCAGCTTTTATCTCTGTGTATTTGTCAGGCTTAGAGATAGGCAGATGAACAATTCTATGGAGAGACTGTTTCTCATTCTTGGACTAACAATGAACACCAAACATTGGTCTACAGATTAAAGGTATTACTCATTCAAAGAAAAATGCATACATGTGGAGGGAAGGCAGGGAGAAAGCAAGGATAAAAATAGTTATGGCTTATACTCAGCTTATACTCTGAAGAAATAGGAATTGTTTATATTTCATGTAAAAATATTAGAAGGATTGGCCATGTGAGGTGGCTCACGCCTGTAATCCCAGCACTTTGGGAGGTCAAGGTGGGCAGATCACTTGAGGCCAGCTCGAGACCAACCCAGCCAACACAGCAAAACTCCGTGCCTATGAAAAATACAAAAATTAGTTGGATGTGATGGTGCATACCTGTGGTCTGAGCTACTCAGCAAGCTGAGTCAGGAGAATCACGTGAACCCGGGGAGGTGGAGGTTGCAGTGAGCCAAGATCACACCACTGCACTGTAGCCTGGGCCACACAGCAAGGCTCTGTCTCCAAAAAAAAAAAAAAAAAAAGTATATAGAATGCTAGTACAATCTAAGAGACATATATATATATATATATATATATATATATATATATATATATATATATATATTTTTAAAGACAGAGTTTCACTCTGTCACCAGGTGCCAGGCTAGAGTGCAGTGGCGCGATCCTGGCTCACTTCAACCTCTGCCTCCTGGGTTCAAGCAATTCTCCTGCCTCAGCCTCCCGAGTAGCTGGGACTATAGGCACCCGCCACCACGCCCAGCTAATTTTTGTATTTTTAGTAGAGACGGGGTTTCACCATGTTGGTCAGGATGGTCTTGACCTCATGATCCACCCACCTTGGCCTCCCAAAGTGCTGGGATTACAGGTGTGAGCCACCACGCCCGGCCCTGGGTAAATATATTTAAGAACAGAGCACTTCATTTTTAAAAGGTGAAGTGTCAGAAACAGTGTGTGTGACAACAATCATTAGAGAAATTATTTATAATTGTTCAAAATGATACACAGTTTGGCAATTAGATTGGGGAAGGTGTGGGAAGGCTTATTTTGATTCAGCTCTGGGAAGAAAAGATGAAAAGTCAACACCTGCATACCAAAAGAAGATGGTAAAAATGAAAATGCAGCGGAAGTCCTCTATTGTTTGGGGATGTCATTCTTTTCCTCATTAACCTCTTGGGATTTTGGGGTACTATTTTATGATTCTTCACTGAAATATTTTCTAGGAGAATTAGCTCCCAAAAAAGAGCATGAGGCTTTAACTTGAAGAAAGACAGAACGTACATACTGCTTTACAACTGTTGGCTATCAGGCTGGCGGTCTTCTTAAAGGTCTTTTCAAGGTAGTGTGCAAATCTTTCATTCTCATTTTCTTTTGACCCAAGCTGAAGAAATTCACCTACAAAGAAGGAAAGGGGTCATTCAAGAGGTGCTTTATTGCCTGGCTAAACACCAGGATTGAGTAACAAAAATGAAATCAACGTACCACGCACCAAATCTTCAATAACTTGGGTTAAAATAGATATAACAGTTGTATTTCCAATTCGTGCCAGAGCTATAGATGCTGCAGAAAGAATTAAATCTCCAGCAAGAACAGCCTAGAAAAAGACAGGGAAAACACAACGTTCAGAAAAAAGTATTAGCACAATGGAGCCAATGATGAAACTGACTGGAAGGGATCTTCGTGGAAGCGGGGCTCATCTTGGATGCAGGTTTTTTTTAACCCTCCTCTTCCTCAGCAGGAGTCTAACAATCAGTTACAGATTTGGGACACTGTTTGAACTGGACTGGCTCTCAGAGATGACCATATCCCTTCCCAGTTCATAATAATGGGTTACAGATTTGAGGCAGTGTTTGAACTGGACTGGCTCTCAGAGATGACTATGTCACTTTCCAGTTCATAATAATCGGTTACAAATTTGGGACAGTGTTTGAACTAGACTGGCTCTCAGAGATGACCATGTCACTTTCCAGTTTGTAATAATCGGTTACAGATTTGGAACAGTGTTTGAACTAGACTGGCTCTCAGAGATGACCATGTCCATCTCCCCAGCTGACAGCTGAAGAAATCAACGCCTGGAGAGGGAGGGCAGCTTCCCCTCACAAGCTTCACCTGCCAGCCCCACCAAAATGCAGCTGCCTTCGGTTTTGCTACACTGGATGTTCATTCTTCCCTTGTGCCTTTCTACTTACTGGTCCTTCTGCTCAAAAAGCTCCGCCCCCTTCTTCACTGAGTGGACTTATTTGCATAATGAGGTGAGATGCCACCTCCAAGAAGTCCCTCCATCCACCCCGATCCCTCAGTCTGCTCAGATGCCTTCCTTTTGTGTGAGTACAACACCCGTGCACACAGTGCGACCATCACACCTTGTATACCAGTCAGGGATGCTCTAGTCTCTAAGCTCCCAGGGCAGTGGGGAGGGTTGGGTAGAGTGGGAGCTCGGGCTAGGCATCATCTCAGCTAGTACTGAGCACACTCCAGAGCATGGCATGATACGTGTTATTTTCAATGAAAACTAAACCAAGGAATTTTGGCTCAAAGTGAAATGCTTTTTGTACCATATGACACTGCCACTCCTCATTCCTAGGCAAAAAAATTTTTTTCCACTGAACACTAAATAATCAACATCTTTCCAATCTTCTTCAGATTGTGATGGACATCTACACTGTATTAGCAACTAGTTACAAATTACTGCATAAATAGTTGAATTATATGCTATAATCAAACTATATATATTAATTTGCATATTTAAAGATACAAATGTTACTTTTTTTTTTTGAGACAGTCTTGCTGTGTTGCCCAGGGTGGAGTGCAGTGGCGCAATCTCAGCTCACTGCAGCCTCTGCCTGGTTCAGGCGATCCTCCTACCTCAGCCTCTTGAGTAGCTGGGACTACAGGCATGCACCACCATGCCCAGTAATTTTTATCTTTTTACTAGAGACGGGGTTTCACTATTTTGCCCAGGCTGATCTCAAACTCCTGGCCTCAAGTGATCCAATTGCCTTGGCTTCCCAAAGTGTTATGAATACAGGCGTGAGCCATCATGCCTGGCCGTGTTATATTCTATAGTAATTAGTCATAAAGGCTAGAGTTCACAGAATTTTTAACATAACCATTTTAGATACTTATTGTCTTAGTTCTTTAGTATCTAAAACAGTGATGTTCAGTGTGTTTACCCATTAATCACCACTTTATATAATATATATAATGTAAGATACCCTGATGTAAGTATATGCTTATAAAGTCACTTTACATATTGTGATATATATATATACACACACACACACACACACACACACACACTTACATTCCCCCACCCAGCCCCTACATCATTGGCAGCTCAGGGCTTGGGATCCATTGACTTTTACTTTTTTCTTCTCCGGGCCAGGGGTGTCCTGGAGGCCAAAAGGTCCAGCATGACACGGACTGTGGAAGGCCAGGGGTGGGAGTTAAAGGAAGTGCGTACTGGGAAGCCCAGGCCAGGCCTAACAAGGGCTCAGCAAGAGGGCACTGTGTGTGTGGGTTTTTGTCCTGGTAACATAGCAGCTGTGGGTCAGGGAGGAACCTGGCAGGTAGCCCTGGGCTGAGCAGATGGCTGTTAGAGCTGGAAGAGGCAGGTGAGGGTGGCACATGTGTCCTTGACCTGCTCTCAGAAAGAGGCCCCCAATGGCAGAGGCAGACACACAGAGGGCTAGCCGCGGAAAAGACCTTCATTTGTTCTCTTGATACTCCTCCCCAAAACCCAAGGCTCCAAATAAGGCTTTAGGACTGGACCTGCCTGAAAACAGACACAGCTGATTGCAGGGACGGGTCACAGAGCTACCCACGTCCTCTCCAAACCAAAACACCATCTGCTTTTTTGGCTAACTCTGAGGTATACAGTTCAGTCAACAGGACATAAAACCTTTTAGTCTAAAATTTGAAATAAAAGGTATGTAAATAAAATTGCAGGACTTGATTTCAAAACAAAGTCATTTATGTTCAAATAAAATCAGCATGTGAAGATAGCAATCAACAGATATATTTCTTTTTTTAATGAGGAGAATTAAACAGCAAGGAACCAGGGATACTCTAAATCCGTGAGAGAGAAGGAGGTGAGGGTGGGGCAGTTATAGTTGTACAAACTTATTATTATTTTTTGAAACGAAGTCTCACTCATATCCAGGCTGGAATGCAGTGGTGTGATCTCGGCTCACTACAATCTCCCTCTCTCGGGTTCAAGCGATTCTCCTGCCTAAGCCTCCTGAGTAGCTTGGGGTTATAGGCACACACCACCATTCCTGGCTAATTTTTGTGTTTTTTTCAGTAGAGACAGGGTTTCACCCTGTTGGCCGGGCTGGTCTCGAGCTCCTGGCCTCCAGTCGTCTATCTACCTCAGCCTACCAAAGTGCTGGGTTATAGGTGTGAGCCACTATGCCCGGCTAATTTTTCTATTTTTAGTAGAGATGCGGTTTCACTACGGTGGCCAGGCTGGTCTTAAACTCCTGACCTCAGGTGATCCAGCCGCTTCAGCCTCCCAAAGTGCTGGGATTACAGGCATGAGACACGGTGCCGGCCTGCACAAACTTTTTGTTTGCTCTTCAGTGGAGGCACATGTGTGCTGATGGTGACGGATGCCTGCTCTCCATGGCCTGTGCATTTTTATTCTTATTTGTTCAACTCTATTCTCATCCTTCAACCCAAGATCTCTGCATCCTCAAACCAAAGTCCCTGCTTGCCATATTCCCCGTGCTAGCAATACAGAAATATGCTTTAATGTATACATATATGAACGAAACCCGTTACAGAACTTCTATTTCAAAAGATAAAATTTTCATGGTAGAAGAGTACCTCTCTGACATTTCCTTTGTTTTTTTTTTTTTTTTTTTTTTTTTTTTTGCTTTGACATTTACATGAAGTACTCAAGCAAATTTTAAAAAATTAAACTGAATCTGGGTAATCTAAGCCCAAAACTAAAATGTATGATTCCTTAAGAAATACACTTTTGGAGACTCATGAAAATCCCTTTCCTTATAACCAAAGGAATTCTATTAGAAATACTAAGTTTATTTTTCTATGGCATTTTCTATTACTTATTTGTCAAGTATCTGTAATATAGATAAGACATGAATACTTTTTTGAAATTTGGAAGACCACATTACATTTGAGCAAGCATATTTTACTTATTAATGAGACAACACTGAAAAACAACTGTGGTCCAAAAAGCATGTGATTTGGTAAGAGAGACTTTAAAAAACTAAAAAGACGTACCTTCTTTTCACCCCAGATCTTATTAACTGTGTGTTTTCCTCTTCGAGAACTTGCATCGTCAATAACGTCATCGTGAACGAGACTAGCAGTGTGGATCATTTCTGCAATTAAGGCTATGGCGCGCTGGCTGGCTTGCACGTGTCTAATTAACAGAAAGCAATGCTTTTTAACAGACGTCGCCTAGAACCTTCTCAGCAATCAGCTTGTGAAAACTGGACATCGGATCTAGGATAAAGAATGTTATTTCTCTAAGAGAAACTGTATAAAAACTCTGGCTTCATGACAGAGCCATTTCTATCATTTGAAGAACATTTTACAAATGCATGAGAAACCCTGCCATGACATTTTATGAATTCCACATTAAAGAAGTAGAAATTGTACAATTAACCCCAAAAAAGGTAAAATGATCAGAAGTCTGGCTGATCTTCTTGGGCTCAAGAATCATCTTTATAGCAATGTTCTTGGTTAGATGTTAAGTTGCCAAGTTTATAAATTTTGGGGTGCATAGGGAAGATAAGTGAGAAGCATTGTTTTTTTTGAGACCTAGTTTTGCTCTTGTTGCCCAGGCTGGAGTGCCCAATCTTGTCTCACTAAAGCTTCCACCTCCTGGGTTCAAGGGATTCTCCTGCCGCAGCCTCTCAAGTAGCTGGAATTACAGACATGCACCACCATGCCCAGTTAATTTTGTCTTTTTAGTAGAGACAGGGTTTCTCCATGTTGGTCAGGCTGGTCTCAAACTCCCGACCTTAGGTTATCCGCCAGCTTCCCAAAGTGCTGAGATTACAGGTGTGAGCCACCTTGCCTGGCAGGAAGCATTTTTTAAAGTATTTTAAAAACTCAACTGTCTCAATGTTCAAAGCTTTTAACATTGCTTTTTTTTTTTTTTTTGAGACAGGGTCTCCCTCTGTTGCCCAGGCTAGAGTGCAGTGGTACAATGTTGGCTCACTGCAACCTCTGCCTCCAAGGTTCATGAGATTCTCCCACCTCAGCCTCCCCAAGTATCTGAAACTACTGGCACACATCATCACACTTGGCTAATTTTTGTATTTTTAGTAGAGATGGGGTTTCACCATGTTAGCCAGGCTAGTCTTGAACTCCTGATTTCAGGTGATCCACCTGCCTCAGCTTCCCAAACTATTGGGATTACAAGCGTGAGCCACCGTGCCTGGCCTCATTCTTTATTAACATTTCACAGTTACTTCTTCTTTATTTTTGAGATGGAGTTTCACTCTTGTTGCCCAGGCTGGAGTGCAATGGCGCAATCTCGGCTCACCACAACCTCCGCCTCCTGGGTTCAAGCCATTCTCCTCCCTCAGTCTCCTGAGTGGCTGGGATTACAGGCATGCACCACCACGCCCAGCTAATTTTCTATTTTTAGTAGAGATGGGGTTTCTCCATATTGGTCAGGCTGGTCTCAAACTCTTAACCTCAGGTGATTCACCTGCCTTGGCCTCCCAAAGTGCTGGGATTACAGCATGAGCCACATGCCACAACTTCTTAATATTTCCAGCCACAACTTCTTAATATTTCCAGATCATCCATGGGGCTGTAACAAAACAAAAGCAATGGAGGGCAGGAACAAATTCGCATATAAAAACCTCTTCAGTAGTCTGGGCACAGTTACAGGCTCTTGCCTGTAATCCCAGCACTTTGGGAGGCTGAGACAGGCAGATCACTTGAGGTCAGGAGTTTGGGACCAGCCTGGACAACATGGCAAAACTCTGTCTCTAATTAAAACACAAAAATTAGCCAGGCGTGGTGGTGTGCATCTGTAGTCCCAGCTACTCGAGAGGCTGAGGCAGAAGAATCACTTGAATTCAGGAGGTGAAGGTTGCAGAGAGCCGAGATTATGTCACTGTACTCCAGCCTGCGTGACAGAGACTCTGTCTCAAAAAAAAAAAAGAAAAAGAAAAAAACCCAAACCCCCCCAAAACCACTTCAGTAAATGAGAAAATAGACTCAAATGGCTTTTAAGAGTTTGCTCAGAATCTGTCAGCAGATTTTTTTCTATTAGAATATTTAAGTATTTTTCAGGTGAATTTACTGGCCCTATCTTTGAGTGGAATGCACAGGAAAAGATGTAGACTTTCACAGTTTTTTTTTTTTTTTTTTAAATATAAAGGTGAATTTTTAGAATATTTTTGCAAGTGAATTTCAGTCTAATAAAATACACACCTCCTACTAGTTAGCAGATCTTACCTTAAAACAACTGGTAAGGTTTAGCCTTTCTCATGCATCCATAAGTTGGGCACCACTTCTATGATCATACCTTACATCAGCAGACGGGCTCCTGCTGAGAAGTTGCAATGAAGCTGGCAGCACTCACCACAACACTAGATTTTTTTTTTTTTTGTAATCTGAAGCTATTATTATAACAAAGATTTCTTAAAATATTTTGAAATTTCATAGACTACTATATATGCATCTAAAAATGTCATTTTGTGCCGGGTGCGGCAGCTCACGCCTGTAAGCCCAGAACTTTGGGAGGCTGAGGCTGGTGGATCGCTTCAGGTCAGGAGTTCGAGTCCAGCCTGGTCAATACGGTAAAACCCCGTCTCTACTAAAAACACAAAAATTAGCCAGGCGTGGTAGCAGGTGCCTCTAAGCCCAGCTATTCAGGAGGCTGAGGCAGGTGAATCGTTTGAGCCTGGGAGGTGGAGGTTGCAGTGAGCTGAGACTGAACCACTGCACTGTAGCCTGCCGGACAGAGCAAGACTCTGTCTCCAAAAATAAATCAAATAAAAATGTCATTTCACATGGCTACATTGTTACTGATGAAATCAGGATGAAACTGGAATGTTATCTGGCACTGCCACAGCCTCTACATAGAATATGCATTGTGTTTGATGCTCCATCATTTTACCTTATTTTGGGGTGCACAGGGAAGATACATATTTTTTTACACAGTTCAGCTTTAGTGTGTCTTTAGTGTGTCAGCTTATATCTGGAAAAAGCTGCCACTGCTTACCTGTAACATGAAGGTGGGACAGATGACCGAAATGCACAGATTACAGAAAAACCTCACACTGTCTTTAAGATGAGATCTCCAAAACGCCAAACTGAATCCTGCCTTCAAATAGTGGTCACACTTTCCCAGGATCTGGGAGAGGTGACAGGCAAGGTAGCATGGAAAACGAGGCCACTGGCCTTGGGAGTTGGCTATGTCCCCTGTACTCCACACCTGCGAGAGTATGCTACGATTCAGCATGCCTCTCAAAACTTTTCTTTCCACTGTCATTAAATTAACCAAAAATTATTTTGTTTGAGATGGAGTCTCGCTCTGTCGCCCAGGCTAGAGTGCAGGGGTGCAATCTCGGCTCACTGTAACATCTGCCTCCTGGATTTTAGTGATTCTTCTGCCTCAGCCTCCCAAGTAGCTAGGGGTATAGAAGTGTGTCACCTGTAATCAGCTGTGCTACCATGCCCAGCTAATTTTTGTATTTTTAGTAGGGACAGGATTTTGCCATGTTGGCCAGGCTGGTCTCAAACTCCTGACCTCAAGTGATCTACGTGCTTTGGCCTCCCAGAGTGCTGGGATTACAGGCATGAGCCACTGCACCCGGCCAAAAAAATTTTTTTAATAATAAAGAATTTCAGGCTGGGTACAGTGGCTCACACCTGTAATCCCAGCACTTTAGGAGGCCAAGATGAGTGGATCACCCGAGGTCAGGAGTTCTAGACCAGCCTGACCAACAGGGAGAAACCCTGTCTTTACTAAAAACACAAAATTAGCAAGGCGTAATGGCACCTCTCTGTAATCCCAGCTACTTGGGAGTCTGAGGCAGGAGAATCACTTGAACTTGGGAGGCGGAGGTTGCAGAGAGCTGAGATTGCGCCACTGCACTCCAGCCTGGGCGACAAGAGCGAAACTCTAAATAGTTTCAAATACACATAAAAACAGATGGAATAATATAAAGGATTCACAGGTAGGGTCATTATGAGTTTTACATGTGGTTTTACAAAATATGTTTTCCCTATTCATACTAACATAAAATGTGAAGTCTTAAATTGCAAGTAAACCCCCAGTGTGTAGGAATGGATCCCTATCAAAGGCACCTCCAATCTAAGGAATGCAGAGAGTGCAGGGTTAGCCTGTGAGCTCCAGCCTCCAGGCCATCCTCCCCAGCTACTGCTCACTCACCTTCTAAACCTAAAGAGACACATCAGGCTCATAGTAAAATCTCTCTCTCTTTAGAGGGAATTTTTTTTTTAAACTGGATCCTAACAGTCATAGACTTGTTAGCATTTTAATGTCAAGAGAAAATAACTGATATCTAAAAGCAGAAACTCCTGCATACTTTCAAATTTCGCTGTGGAGATAACGGATGTCTGCCAAGTTGCATCATAAATGGTGCAGGGTTCACACTCTTGCTTATTTGCTTGCCACTGAAGAAGCACTGCAAGAGCTTCTGGATCTCGGGGTAAGTGGTGAGAGACCCTTGTGACAATGCCTGGATCTGCAACTTACTCAGGTTGCTCTGTGCAGAGCTTTCTCTGCAGGGTGCAGGGTACTATGGATTATTGCAGCATTCAGTTCCTTCAAATTGAGCATGGGTAAGGAAAGTCTAGGAGTGACGGGACCATGGGGCTCATGCCTGGAATCCCAGCACTTTGGGAGACTGAGATTGGTGGATCACTTGAGGTCAGGAGTTCGAGACCAGGCTGGCCAACATGGTGAAACCCCATTTCTACAAAAAATACAAACATTAGCTGGGTATGATGGTGTGCTAGTTGGGAGGCTGAGGCAGAAGAATTGCTTGAACCTGGGAGGCGGAGGTTGTAATGAGCCGAGATTGCACCACCGCACTCCACCCTGGTCAACAGAGTGAGACTCAAAAAAAAAAAAAAAAAAAAAAAAAAAAGTATGGGAATTGATGCCTTCATTCCTTCCCAGACAGAGTCACCTCATCCTGGCAGGGAAGGTGCTGAATAAGGTGCACATACCAGTCACAAGCTCTGCAGCCCCCTTGCTCTCACTGAAGTTATTATGCTTGACCTTGAACTCATGTATGAAATGACCATCTGCTCATCAAAATCTCCACCTTAGTGGGTGTCCCTTACTGTAGATGTTACTTCAAAGATCCATTTCCATAGTGCTTATGGACATATCCAAAGTGCCACCTGCTGGGTGAAAGACAAAAA